TTGCCCAGTCATGTTCTCTGTTAATTTCCTTCATTACTAAGATGGCAGTTCAGATGAAGGATAGTTGAAGACACAATCTGCTTTGTATCTTTGGTTTAGTTCGCCATCCACTGTTTTTTGTGTTCTGTGTGCGTCCAAGGATATGTAAGTAAATTACTGACATTATTATTTACAGATAGATGTGTATTTTTATTATATTTTTGATGATAGTTGGTAATTGTAATTATGATGTCCAGCCAGCCACATGGCAATGCTAATTAGGTTTATTTTCTGCTTTTTTCTGTTTGTAGAACCACACACACACACTCTGTATCTGCTTTAAACCCACCAGTATACAAATATTGTATGGATCTTCTTTGATGGTGAATAAACCACAACATTTTGGACATCAAGCATTTTGACTAATGCTTCACAGCGATAACCATTCCCACAACCAGTTTTAATTGAAATATTAGAATCCCTCATTACAACGTTAGAGATTGAACTAACAGATTCTAACAGATATGAACAGATATGAACTTCCAGCTGGCTGGGAATTAAAAATAACAGTTATTCACAACACCGCTATAGTTCTGCTGCTATAGGCTTAGACTGCCGGAGGACATAGGGACCCCTTTTTCTTCATTCTGCTGATTCAGTTGATTTAGAATGAGTAAGAATCCCATCCAGCCAAACGATAGAAGCCATGTCATCTGTATGATGTTTCTTATTTTCAATAAATCAGAATATTTAATAAATAATAAATTATTTTATTGCTTTGAAAAAGGATTAACCCGTTAGAGAAATGCAGTATTTTAATTGTACATAAACTTAATTTTCAGAAGTTTTAATGTTTCCGGAACAGTGAGGCTGATCATATTTCTTTGGATAAAATGATCAGTGAAACCTTTTCTCTCCAGTTATCTTCATCTGCCAGGAATATTAGTTTCACCTAAAACATTTAATCAGGTTTAAAAGTGATTTTCTCCCTGAGCTGCAGCTGTTCTCTGTTTGGAGACAAATATCTGCTGAAAGAGAACCGAGGAAGAAGCCTGAGGCTGCAGGAAGGATCTCTGCTCATGTCCCATCTGCTGCTGCTGGCATCTAGCTCTACGTCTGAAGGACAGAATCTCCTCTCTCACCTCCACCTTTCACGCATCGGAAGATCTGCTGCTCCATGGAAGCAGAAGGACTCTTTGAAGGGAAGAAGGCTCTGAAAGGGATTTTATTTATTGATGCTCAGAAAGAAGAACCTGGAAACGCCACAGGAAACAGCTTCTGTCAGCGAAGGTGGGATGAAACAAAGAACCGAAACATCCAGGAAGAGCATCAACAGGGGCCAACAGGGGCCGGGATAGGGGCCAGGACAGGGGCCAGAACAGGGGCCAGGTTAGGGGCCAGAACAGGGGCCAGGACAGGGGCCAGGACAGGGGCCAGAACAGGGGCCAGAACAGGGGCCAAGACAGGGGCCAAGACAGGGGCCAGGACAGGGGCCAAGACAGGGGCCAGGACAGGGGCCAGGACAGAGGCCAGGACAGGGGCCAGGACAGGGGCCAGAACAAGGGCCAGAACAGGGGCCAAGACAGGGGCCAAGACAGGGGCCAGGACAGGGGCCAAGACAGGGGCCAGGACAGGGGCCAGGACAGGGGCCAGGACAGGGGCCAGAACAGGGGCCAAGACAGGGGCCAGGACAGGGGCCAAGACAGGGGCCAGGACAGGGGCCAGGACAGGGGCCAGGACAGAGGCCGGGATAGGGGCCAGGACAGGGGCCAGAACAGGGGCCAGGTTAGGGGCCAGAACAGGGGCCAGGACAGGGGCCAGGACAGGGGCCAGAACAAGGGCCAGAACAGGGGCCAAGACAGGGGCCAAGACAGGGGCCAGGACAGGGGCCAGGACAGGGGCCAGGACAGGGGCCAGAACAGGGGCCAAGACAGGGGCCAGGACAGGGGCCAAGACAGGGGCCAGGACAGGGGCCAGGACAGGGGCCAGGACAGAGGCCAGGACAGGGGCCAGGACAGGGGCCAGAACAAGGGCCAGAACAGGGGCCAAGACAGGGGCCAAGACAGGGGCCAGGACAGGGGCCAAGACAGGGGCCAGGACAGGGGCCAGGACAGGGGCCAGAACAGAGGCCAGGACAGGGGCCAGGACAGGGGCCAGAACAAGGGCCAGAACAGGGGCCAAGACAGGGGCCAGGGGCCCTGTCAAATAAAATATTTTTCTTCATTTAGTTCCAACTAAACGGCTGTTTCATGCTGACTGCTTCCTGCTAAACAAGGAAACGTTTATCTGACTGGAAACTCGGCTGAAGAACAAAGAATAAAACTGAAGCTGGTGATTCTACTGCAGCTGATCTACGTTAGTAACCTCCCAATCTAATTGGTCTATTTCTACCTTTTGTGTAAATCTAATAATTATTGCTACTATTATTATTGTTTTGTGGCGCTGCTGTCATTTGTTTCTGCTTATATAATCTCTTGATTCCCTGAGCGCCTGGTTCTGTGGAGGTTAATCTTCCATCAGCTGGAGGAACAGCTGGCGCAGCAGGCTGCACAGTCAGAGCGCTTCATTGGCTGCAGCCAGATAAAAAAAAACAGGCGTGCAGGAGAGAGGAGGCAGAACATCCTGCTGCTTCACTCCCAGCAGAGGAGCCACGCTGTCGGAGCCATGAACCAGAGCGCAGGAGCCGTGCAGCACACCCGGAGGTTCTCCGTGGACGAGAAGGTAAGCTGCTGCTGCTGCTGCTGCTGCAGGTTCTCCCCAAAGTCACAGAAACTTTCAGCAAAGTTCGGAGCTTTGTGATGGAGCTGCAGGAACAGCGTCTGAGAAGGTTCTGCTGGTTCTCCTCAATCATGGGACAGAACATCACGCTGTGGAACATCTTCTCTGAGTGAATCCTGCTTCAATGATTCATGGGATCCTGCAAACACTGACAGGGAGAAACTTTTAATATCGAGCCGTTTCTGTTCCGCCTCACTGGAGGTTTAAGGTTAGATGGACTGGAAGTTCTGAAGGTGGAGAACATTAGTGGATCAGAAGGTCTCTGTGGGACATGGAGGCTGGTCAGAGGTGGATGCATTTGGAGGAAAACCTGTGACTGGATGGAGGTTCACCTTCATGCAGGAGAACCAGCTTGGAGGGCCTAGTCAAAGTAACATGATAAATGTTCTGTTCTTATAAACACTCTTTGCTTTCAGTCAGTCCCTGATGGTGGTGAGCTACATGGCAGCCACAGCTGCCCTGGGGCCTGACAGATGTTCTCCATCCAGTCTGAGCTGAAGACCTCCTATAAAACAGACCTTTAGTCTGGAGATGAACCTCTGAGGGTCGGTCCCATTCAGGGTTCTGGTTGGTGGTGGAGCTTCTTCTGATGCATCATGTCCTGTTTCTGGTTCCATCTTAGAAACATCAGTTTGACTCAGAGGAGAGGGCCCCGGGCCCCGCGGCGGCTCCCGGGGCCCGACAGATGTTCCAACCCGTCCCTGCAGAGGCGGTGCTTACGGAGAACGTCTCTGATGCCTCCAGCGGGACCACCCCCTCATTTAAAAGCTTTGCAGCAGTAACTGAACATCGCTCAGGGAGGGCGTGACCTTCTCCTGTCAGTCTGCAGTCAGCGGGGAGCCCATCTCTTTGCCCCGCCCCCTCCAGTGGCTGACCAATCAGCAATCAATGAGCCAACCAGTAGCCTGACCAGCTGCCATCGTCAGAAACTTTAAACTCTGAGGATACAGAAAAACTCCATGAAGTTGTGAAACAGTTTAGAAACGGTTGACTCTACAGATGCAGCATCTATTTGGTAAAATCTACCTGTGGTCAGCCTGTTAGCGGAAGCATTTCTTAATCACATGACTGTGATTAAGAAATTTTTCTGTACAAATGTGGTAAAAAAAAAAATATTTTAGGGTGATTAAAGGATTTATTTTCCAACTGAAGTAATTGCTCAGGCTGTTTTTTTTATTTACATAGTTGCAGAACCTGCTGTTACATCTGAGCAGTTCATTCTACGATCTGGACTGGAAACCACCAGAGATGTTGATGCAGGACGTTCCCAGTGTGAACGCCATCCAGTTCCCTGGAAAAATAAAAAATAAAAAAGAAAACTTAAGGATTTTTGTTTTGCTCTTTTCTGTAGAGATCATCAGGCATGCTGAGCTAAATGTGGCCTTTCTTTAACCTGCTGTATATCAGCCAGTGCCTAACATTCATCCCTTCCATTCTGGGAGGTAGGATAGGTTCGATTCTCTGCCCTCTGAATCTGCTGGAAGTTCATTTCCCGTCTCAAGGAAAGACCCCAGTGGGCCTCAGCAGATGGCCGCTCACACTGAGCCTGGTTCTGCTGGAGGTTTCTTCCTGTTCAAAGGGAGTTTTTCCTCTCCACTGTCGCTACAAGCATGCTTAGTGTGAGGGATTGCTGAAGAGTCAATGAGTCGATGCAATCAGCTGGTTTTCCGTAGATAGAAAACTTTGAATCAATCTGACTGGATGATCTGGTTGAACTGTAAAGTGCCTTGAGATGACATGTGTTGTGAATTTGGCGCTATATAAATAAACTGAATTGAATTGATTTCCTTTTTGCCGTTAAACGTACCACATTCACTCCATCAGCGCAGGATCATAGAAATTATCCGTCTCTGACACACTAAGCTCAGACTCTGCGATCGGGCAGAAAGCGCCTCCACCTGCATGATGACACCAGAGGCCAGAGGGACCCTGGACCCTCCAGCCTTTGGTGTCATCTTCCCTTTTTATGTCTTTTTCCTGAAAACCTGACATTCTTAGTTTGCAGAGAAACTAACTTTTAAAGTTGCAGCCCGCCGTTTACCCTGGTCAGACCATTTGGACCATTGGCCCCTTACCCCCACCCCCCCCTGTCGTTGGACGTTCCTACCTGCCCCCCTCAGATAATGGAGCCTAAAACCGGCCCTACGGCCCATCTGTAGGGGGCGCTGTGTCCCACCTTAGTTTACAGGTATTCTGGGTGGTCTGTTCATGAATCTGGTTCGAATCTGGTTCAACTCTGGTTTGTATCTGGTTCAACTCTGGTTTGAATCTGGTTCTACTCTGGTTTGTATCTGGTTCGACTCTGGTTTGAATCTGGTTCGACTCTGGTTCAAATCTGGTTCGAATCTGGTCTGACTCTGGTTCGAATCTGGTTCGACTCTGATTCGACTCTGGTTCAACTCTGGTTCGACTCTGGTTTGGATCTGGTTCAACTCTAGTTTGAATCTGGTGCGACTCTGGTTTTAATCTGCTTCGACTCTGGTTTAAATCTGCTTCGACTCTGGTTTGTACCTGGTTTGACTCTGGTTTGAATCTGGTTCGACTCTGGTTCAAATCTGGTTCGAATCTGGTTCGACTCTGGTTTGACTCTGGTTCGACTCTGGTTTGAATCTGGTTCAACTCTGGTTTGGATCTGGTTCAACTCTGGTTCGAATCTGGTTCGACTCTGGTTTGAATCTCGTTCAACTCTGGTTCGACTCTGGTTCGACTCTGGTTTGGATCTGGTTTGGATCTGGTTTGAATCTGGTTCGACTCTGGTTTAAATCTGCTTCGACTCTGGTTTAAATCTGCTTCGACTCTGGTTTGTATCTGGTTCTACTCTGGTTTGAATCTGGTTCGACTCTGGTTCAAATCTGGTTCGAATCTGGTTCGACTGGTTCGACTCTGGTTTGAATCTGGTTCAAATCTGGTTCGACTCTGGTTCAACTCTGGTTTGAATCTGGTTCGACTCTGGTTTAAATCTGCTTCGACTCTGGTTCGAATCTGGTTCCACTCTGGTTGGACTCTGGTTTATTGTCTCTCTGTTTCTTCATACCTGAAATCAAAAGATTACCATGATGCAGAATCCTGAGGCAGGAGGATTTGAGGAGCAGAGCTAATTTATTTTGACCTGTTTCACAGATTGAGATCCTGGTGAGAAAAACCAAAGTCAATTCATGAAGGAGACGCTGTAGGAACAGTGCCCACTCCTTTTGACGAACCGGTTCAGGGTCCAAAGGACCGGGGCCCGCTCAGGTGGTCCAGGTGCTGTTCATGCTTTAGCTTGCTGCTCTCAGTGTAAATCTGGGTCAGATGAACCACAGCCAGAAGGGATGTGATGGAAGCTGCCTGGATTCAGACATAAATAAAACCAACTGCCGCTCAGAAGCACAGATGAACCTTAAATAATGCTCCAAAGTCCTGCAAAGGCTGACAGCTGCATGGAAACCTATAGTTCTGATGATCCAGTGAGAAGAATGGCCGCCGACTCATCAGAGGAAATAATCCGAATCCCTGCTGGAAAAATCTGGAAAAACATTTCCATGCTTGACTAAAGCACAACAACAACTGAATGAAAGGTGAAGAAACAGATTAAGGAGGTTTACTCAGTGGGGTGATGCTGCCCCCTGCTGGATGAGAATAATAATTATATTTTTGCTACTTTAAACAGAATTTAACACTGAAATAAAATGAGGTTTTTAGGCATCCATGATAAACATTGATTTTTTTAATAAAATATTAAATATTTCAAATCGTTTGGTTTATAGATAATTTCCTGATTCCCATATTTTCTCAAACCCCTGAACTGATGGTTTGTTCTTTTCTTTCTTTTTTCTGTCTTAATGTTGGCAGTGGGCTTTAGGCTGCCCTGCAAGGCTTTAAACCTGGGTTTAACCGGAGACTAAGCCATTCTCAAGCACAGATCAAGGAGCTCATTTTGAGCCTGGATCCAGATTTATTGTTGATTCTGTTCATGGTGGAGAATCCTGCTTCACAGCAGCAGGTTGAGCCAAACATCCTCTAAATGTGCAGGGTCATCTTTGAGCACGCCATTTCACTTTTCTTTCACCAGTTCACAGCAGTTCTTCCAGCAGTCCACACTTTCTCTGCTCTCTTTTTCTCATGGTCTTCTCCTTCTTTCCCATCGCCCGGCTTGCCACAGGTTTGCCTGCTGTGTCTAAAAGTAGCAGCAGCAGCAACCCAGACTGACAGCTCATTGGCTCATTTGGATCACGTGCAGCCTGGAGCCGGACGCTCCCCAGGGCTTTACCGTATTAACAGGAGAAGAGGAGCAAGAGAAGGTTTTTTTTCCTTGGTAACTATGAACCAGTTACTTAGGAACCAAATATTTAGGAACCAGTTATCGAGGATTCAGTTACCAAGTAACCAGTTACCTTACAACCAGTTAACTGGGAACCAGTTAACTAGGAACCATTTAACTAGGAACAAGTTAACTGGGAACCAGTTAACTAGGAACCATTTAACTAGGAACCATTTAACTAGGAACCAGTTAACTAGGAACCAGTTACCCTAACTGCTGTCACAGGAAGGGGAACGCTGCCAACGCTGTACCTTCCAGCAAGGAAGGTACAGCGATTGCAGCATCATCCTGCGGGAGGGACTGGTTCACTTCACACATCAGAGATTCAACAACAGGAAAAAAAAGTAGGAAAGTTGTTTTACTGTTTTTCTCTCACTAACGGTTTCCAAGACTATGAAGGAGGGAACTTCCTCTGTGATCCAGAACCATCAGCCAGAAGTTCCCACCCAGACAGGGTTAGCTAACAGTCGGTTAGCTTAGCAACATTAGCTGCAGACATCAGGAAGTATTTCTCAGCTTTAAGGGATTCAGTTTGTTTCTAACTTGCTGTGAGGTTTTTGTTCTGTTCTCCTGAGAAAACTTCCCCATCAGTTCAGCATTAATATCCAGCAGATAAAGTCCTGGAGCAGGAGGGAGGATGCTT